CTAGCGGTCACACAAAGGAGGCTAATGAGGCCAGCAAGAAGGGGACGGAGGGCGCCGTCCGTCGCTCCTCAGTCATCATGCAGCCAATTAAGATTCGTCAAAAGATGGGGTTCCCCGCGACCGACTTTACCGAACCCGCGCCGGAGTTGACGTCCACGACCCCGAAACAAGAGGTTCCAATGAAAACCACCTCAATGGGCCGTCCCATGCGGAAGTCGGCAAGCCAGTTCTCAGCACGGCGTCTTCTCAAGTCGAGAGCCAGCGAACTCGCCCACCTTGGCACCTCTGACTCCTCCACGGATGAGGATTGGAATCCGATGGGGCACGCTCAGGAGTCCTCTCCATCGAGTTCGCCGTTGTCTGGTGGTCATGTGGCTTCTTCTCAACGCTCGAGCCTGCCGAAAAAGTCCCAGGTATTTAAAAGTCAATTTCGTCCCTTTTTCCCCACCTTCGATGGTTTGATGTTATCCAAGTTTTACTCGTCCCGATAGCTCCCCCCTTTTTTGTTTTCTTTCGAAAGTAACAGATTACTAGAAAATCTCGAAACTCGTGTCTCCGTGTATGCGTAGACTGGTGATAAACTCATTTACGTCCTTCAGGTTTGTAATACTGGTAAGCATAGAAGACGATTTCCTGTATGTAATGAAGGTAAAGTACAGTGTGTGTATGTGTGTTGAAGGTTATGAAATAGCTGATTTTCACCATAAACTTTGGGATTGAAAGGGTCACTTAAGTGGTCGCAGTAGTGATCAGTAAGGAATGTAGTCTCAAGATCATTTATTCAGATTGTCGAGTAACTTCTGGTTAAACGTTTCTGCGAACAGTTGTGCCAAACACATTCGAAAAATCTGCGTTTTCCTTTTCGACATGCGTAGAAATCCACTAATAATCCATAGTTGGGAATTTTGAAAATATCATTTTCAGGCACATATTACAAAACATCCCAACATCTGTTGACTTTCTACTTTCAGAACGGACTTAATTCAGTTCTGTGGTTTGAGTATTGAAAAAGTGTAGAGGACGCAGTATTTTTCGCAATATCCACAAGTCTCATTCAATTAGAGGTTTCGTTCCTTGCACTTCAGAGTGCTCAGCGCGTCGAATGTTTCAGCGGTGTAGGCACGTGACTGCTATCCGGGCCTGAATACAGATTGGGGAAGGTGCATCTCGGAAAATGCGGGATATGTCCCGATGCTGGCAAACTATTTAGCTCTGTGTGGCGGTCCAGGATTTCTACCTTTTACCATATTCTGTGAGCACTGAGTTAACTGACCGACTCGGACAGTGGCTAGGGCCTCAGCATGCGAATAGAGAGTGGGCTCGACGGCTCAGCAACTTTCCTTACTATTGCCAATCTGGCGTGGTTTAAGTTATCACGGTACGTGAAAAGCCGTGAGTCGGAAGGTTGCTAACTGACGGGATAACTCGGGGACCGCGCAGTCGGCCCAGTGTTTTTTTTTTGTGGAGTGGCCGAATGACGGACCGAGAGTCAGGTTGCAATGGCTCCTTCTTAATATGGTCTTTGTGGCACTCCCACTCCGTGGTATTCGCACCGGGCGTGTCGGCACACTTAAATGCGGTTTCGGTTGCACCAATCACCCGCGCCCTTTCCCGCCTCCGTTCCTCTCAACTCTCTCGGTAGATGCAGCGCACTTCTACTATCACGATAATCTAAGTCACGCGCAAGTCATCGTAGGATACGACGGTCAAACTCGCCTGGACACTAGGGCCAAATGCAGTCTAAGAGGGGAAGGGCAAAACTTAACTGGAGAGGGTGTACTCTGTGCGAAAGTGCTGTTGTGCCAAGGATTGAGCGGATGATCGCATGGTCATCAGAGCGCCAAAGCAGACCGGCTGCCTGGTTGACGCGCGTAAGATAGCCCCAGGTGCCAGCGCGAACGTGACTAAGCGCAGCTAAAGCCTGGGGGGGGGCCTGCCGTACTTTGGAAGTGCGTCTCCTAATTACCCAGCTTGTCGCGGATATTGGGCACGCTGGAGCGGCTGCTTCAATTGTACCGCACTACTAGGTAAGAAGCACGCCCCGGCGAGGAGAAGAAGCGCAGTCCTGGTGGCGGTATCCATTTCAGTTCCCGACCAGCAGATTGTCAAAAGCCGCGTTTTCCTTTTTATGAGCGATCTGTCTGGCGCAGGAAAAGCGAAGAGGAAAATTTTGTGACCATGCTGTCGCCCGGTGAAATCAACGCAGCCATGCGAGCGACTGAATCCGGTCCGATACAACCTCAGCGCCAGGCGCCGTTTAGGCAAAGGAGTGGAAAACATGGCTGGAACACAGTCGTAACAAACGTTGTGCATTTTCTGCCGGCCAACAGCGTGCGTCAGTCGGATGGGACGATAACTTCTCGAGGAAACTACTACAGGGCAATTCCGAAGTGTGATAACGCCGTTTTAGTGAAGAGCTTCTCAGTCAAAAGGTGACATGTCACGGTCTATGAGCTAGCTCGAAAGAAGGTTCTATTTTGTGTCGGCATTGCAAGGATATTTGACTAGGAGTTAACGTCTACGCTAGCGAGAGTCCGGCGTGTGTTGTTCACTTTCTGACAGTGTAAATCCGACAACCCAATCGGCTTGCAATTTTTGGGTTGGCTGACCGCCGCGCTAAAGCATTATTCATTCGAAGCGGTAGCCGAGTGAGTCATCCTGTGCGG